AATTCATATGACATTCCAGAATAGGGAAATCTATATAGAAGGTAAATTAGTAGCTGCTTAGAGGTTGGGGTGATGGGGATGGGGGTAGGTAATGGGGAGACAGGAGAATAATAGCTAAAGGGTACAGGATTTCTTTCTGAGGTGATGGAATATTCTAAAAAACTGGTGATGGTTGCATATCTGTTTATAATACAAACCACTGAACTGTGTACTTTAGTTAATTGTATAGTACGCAAATTATCTCAATAAAGCTGTTAAAAAATTAAAAATGGTGAAAAATCTGTTTGCTTATGTTCAAACTGAATAGATTTTTGTAACCTCTGACAATTAACTACTTTTATATTTACCATTATTCCCATACCCTCACCATACATTTTTGGCAAAGAAAAAATTTTGTAAAAGTTAAATAACTGGCCAGTTACAACTAATTTGTAAATAAATGGATTTCAGAATATAGACTGAGTATTACTCAAATATTTTCTAGATGCTTATTAGTGGGTACTATCCAAATACCTCATTTACCGAATCTTTACCCAAACCAATGGTAGAATTCTACATATATTTATATAATTGACATACCACAAGGAACCTCATTCAGGCAGCTCACCGCCTCTCAGGGCCTCAGTTTTCCTATGTCATTCTCCCTAAACAAATATTCTGGCCTCATCTGTCAGTGACTTGATTTTATATATATATATATATATAATTAGATTATGTGATAGGTACCATAAAAGATAGATAGATGCCTACCTCTTGGGCAGAACCACTAATATGAAAAATGGAAATTTGAATTGGAATGATGGCTCAAGGAGTGAACAGCATCTTTTTTTAAAAAAAAAAAAAAATGGAGATAGCATTTATGGCAACAAAATTTTTCCATACTATAGGTTGAATGGCCATACCCAATAATCCCATCCCCACACAGAGAAAAACTCTTATTTGTGTACACAGATATACAAAAAAAAAGGTAAACTCAAATTCAGAACATAGTTCTAGAACAAATCTGCTACTAGAGATATGTATGCTTGCACAGGGAACTTAACTTCTCTATAAAGTGGACTAGATCAGGAAACCATAAAAATACTAGAGGAATCCAAAGGCAACAAATCTCAGACATATGCCAAAGCAATTTCTTCACCGATACAGCTCCTAGGGCAGTGATGGCGAACCTATGACACGCGTGTCAGAGGTGACACACAAACTCATTTTTTTGGTTGATTTTTCTTTGTTAAATGGCATTTAAATATCTATATAAATAAAAATGTAAATGTTCGTTTGTTCAAAATCTTAAATCTCCGAAAGTTCTTCACCATTGGTTGAAAAAGTATTTCACAATAATGAAACCAATTATAAGAATCACGATTGGCTGAGTGAACGAGCTATTCTTGCGGCCAAGAACAAAGACATCTACGAACTTAACAGTATTATTCAGTCTAACATTCAAAGTAAGGCAGTCACATACAAGTCCGTCGACACTGCTGTGGAAGCAGATGAAGCGGTTAATTATCCAACAGAATTTTTGAATTCACTCGATCTGCCAGGGATGCCACCTCACGTACTGCAATTGAAAATCGGCGTGCCAATTATCATGTTGCGAAATGTCAACCAGCCAAAGCTTTGACAGGCACGCGGCTTGCAGTAAAAAAATTAATGAGCAATGTCGTAGAAGCAACAATCTTGACAGGACCTTTCAAAGGTGAAGATGTCCTCATTCCTCGCATTCCTATGATTCCAACGGATATGCCATTTCAATTTAAGAGATTGCAATTCCCAATTCGATTGGCGTTTGCAATCACCATCCACAAAGCTCAGGGCCAATCTTTAGAATTGTGCGGTTTAGATCTAGACGTGGATTGCTTCTCACATGGACAATTATATGTTGCGTGTTCTAGAGTCGGCAAACCAGACAATCTCTATATCTGCACAGACAATGGAACAACACAAAATGTTGCATACCCACAGGCATTGTGAAATTAAGCGTATTAGAAACATGTGCTTTCTCTTTTCTTTCTTTTCCATTTAACCAGACTGAGCCACAGCAACGCATGGCCGGGTACAGCTAATTCAGAATAAGACAAGAATAAACTCTGTGTTTCGAGTACTCACAACTGTAAAGTGACTTCTGCCTCCCCTGTATAGATTGTGAAATGACCACCACAGTGAATTTGGTTAACATCCATCGCCACACATACTAGTACTTACAAAAATGCTTTCCTCTTCTCTTTCTCTTTTTTTTTTTTTTTTTTGTGTGTGTGTGTGTGATGAGACCTTTTAAGGTCTACTATACATCCAGATCATAAACGTAAGGAAACAAGAAAGCGTGAAGGAAGCTTGAGTAATGCAGACAGCAATGAAGAGCTCACATGGAGATGAGAACGGGTGTGGACATGAGAGACCAGTGCAAGCCCGTTTTCATTGCTAAACGGTAATTTTGAGCTGGTAGAGGACTGGCAGGAGGCACTAGCACGAATGTGCCTGGTGCCAATGACGTATCCCATTAGCTCATTCATCCCAGGACAGATGTGTGGGAAGCACGGGCTGCAGCTCCAATGGTCTGAGGGACAGTGAACTGGCCCCCTGTTTAAAAAGTTTGAGGACCCCTGCTTTAGCCAATCTGTTTCTTAATTACCAATAGCTAGAAAGCAATGCTAATTTCATTGGTATAAAAGTGCATATTAAAAAAGATCATTTAATTCCTGTACTTATCTACTTAAATAGGAAGTACAAAATTAAGTCAAAGAAAAAAAATATGAAATTAAAAACTATAGTCTAATCTAAGCTATTTTCTTGTTTAGTAAAGCATGAAATCAGAAGAGTTTAAATAATTGGTAGTTCATAAATAACATCTTCTGATGGTCAGCTATCTGGCACAGGATACTACTTTATGAGCAATATTCTTTTCAAATATAAAGCCTACACTTTATTTGCCTCTTATCTTCTTTGTTAAGAAGTAGAAAATATGGTTTCAAAGTGTGTACTTTCCAGAACTGCTAGGTTATAGATACATTTTGCAAATCTAAAAATATACACTATTCAATACTAGAAAAAATTTAAAGGCACTTTGGTGTTCAGTTATTTGGAACTGAATTTAACAAATTTTATTCAACAGGTTCATGCTTGAGTAATGAAGTTTCTAGGTTTCTTATATTCTTCTACTAAATAAATATACCTACATATAATGTATACTAGTAGAGGACTATGTACTAGTAAGTGTACATATTTTCAAAAAGAACACCTGAGAGACGTTATATCAAAATATTTTGTTTTTAATAGAAAAACAACTTTTATGACAGCTAAATACACAAGGTAACTTTAATTTTTATAAAGAAAAATTATCGTAATAATGAAATTTTAGTGATAAATGCACTAAAATACGTAATCTTTTGAAATAAACCATTTTCAGAGAAAAATGTTAATTCATGCCTGACTATTAAAGTGCATAAAAAGGAAATTTATTTTAGAATTTATATCAAAGGAGCTCTTATAAATAAATGAAGCCCAGTCTCAATGATAATATAGCCTTGATTTTAATATAGTCTGCCTCACAGTACATGCCTCATAATAGTTTGTTCCCAAAGTTGAAAATTCCTAGCCCTAACAAGCAATTTTCTCTATTGATAACTTTATGAGTAATTTTGGCAACAGCATAAAAAAGTCTTAATCCTTATTTTGCTAATTTTCTCAAGTCATGCCTCACAAGAAACATCTAATTATTGTTTTCAATGAAAATTGACAGAAGAGGAATATTCTCATACTTTTAAAACAAGTTAAACAATAAATATTTATCCTATGCAAATAAAATGAAACAAAAAGTAAATTTTAAGATATCTTTAGTTAATTTTTAAAAAAACATTAAATTGTATTCACAATGGTAAATTAAACTAATGAAAACAGTAACTTGCAGAGCCAACTGGTATACCGTTCCTAAGGACAAAGGTAAAATCTGTGCACAGAGATGCTGAAGGACAGTCAAATCTATCACTTACATTTGCAGCTTCTTACAAAAAAAGTCAGACTGCTATAGTTTTTTTAATGCCCACTTTTAAAACTTGCTCAGTTTTAAAACCAACATCATGGAGTCATTCTTATATGCGTGTTTTTAAGTAGCCTCACACAATGATTCTGATTTAGATTAGTCACATATACACTGATGTTTTTATCATTATGAAATTTTAAAAAATGTGTTTTCAGAAGATGGAATCCATGAAAAGGCTACTGATGAATCTTTGACTACAGAAAATCAGCAACAGAATGCCAATATTAACTACAGAAAACAATTTGTCAGGATCACAACAAAAGGATATAATGAATTTTTTCTAAAATACCTAGTTCATTTTTATAATGAATAAAACTAATACTTACAAATTATTCATGTACTTTCATATGAGGTTTGTTTTGTTAATATTTGTGCTTTTCCGTTACTAGTTTTTTCCTACTCTTGCATCAAGTCTTCCCATAAATCTCTGGAAAGTCACAAATATCCCTATGGTCATGGGTAAACTATAAAAGTGATAATTCATCAAAATGTCTTTTAACCTATGTAATAAATAAATCTGTTGTGAGGTTAATTTCTCCTAATTTATATCAAATAATACCATCAATCTAAGAAAAATAATGATCATATTGATTTTACTATGGTTTAAACTCTCAGACATCTTTCTGATTACTTATTAATGTAAAAAAACTGAGTTAATTTTATATTCATATTTAAACTACTGATACCTATAAATAAAACAGTATTTATTAAAATAGAATATGCACTTAATTTATACTAAATTCCACTCAAATTTATACAAGTTTTTCATCCTTAATTTTTAAATACACACATATTTTTTTCAAACACTACAAGTATATACAAAACTGAAATATGACACCCAAGCCAGATTGTGATTTTTAAAATAACTTCTAAACAGGCAGTAATATACAATGTGTAAAAATCCAATAAAATACAGGTATATTCTTATACAAATGTTAGTCCTATAATACCGAGCGATATTTACAAGCAAACATGATCCAAACAGCACATGCAGATTCGGGGTAAGTAAACACTCGAACACGAACTGCCAGCCGCACCTGGTCTCCACGACAACAGATTATTTCTTCACAGAAAGGAGACCTACAGAAGGAAGAAAATTTACTCACTCAGGAAGTAAACATAGGCTTTACTTTCTTATTTCTAAGTAAGTCACCATTTTAAATATTTTAAAATCCTGTCTTTACTACCAAGGGCTCTGTAATTTTATTTTATTTTAATTATTTTTTTATTATTAATTTCAGAGAGAGGAAGGGAGAGGGAGAGAGAGAGAAACATCAACGATGAGAGAGAATCATTGATTGGCTGCCTCCTGCATGTCCCCCACTGGGAATCAAGCTCACAACCCAGGCATATGCCCTGACCAGGAATTGAACCGTGACCTCCTGGTTCATAGGGCGAAGTTCAACCACTGAGCCATGCCAGCCGGGCTGGGCTCTGTAATTTTAATCAAATTATAGACTATTTCCTCATAATCTATACATTTAAAAAATTATACTAGTCAAGATCAGAGATTCCCAACAAAGATTGCACCAAAATCACTGGGAAAATTATCCCAAACTATCAAAAGCTACATTTCAGGCTTAATGAACCATAATCTGTGGCAAAGAAGGTAAGTCTTATTTATAGAAGTTCCCCATGTGAATCTGAAGTTATCCTATATAATGAACAGCGGAACAACTAGTCGCTATGATGCGCACTGACCACCAGGGGGCAGACGCTCAATGCAGGAGCTGCCCCCTGGTGATCAGTGCGCTCCCACAGGGGGAGCACCGCTCACCTAGAAGCCAGGCTCACGGCTGACAAGCGCAGTGGTGGTGGCAGGAGCCTCTCCTGCCTCCTTGGCAGTGCTAAGGATGTCCGACTGCCAGCTTAGGCGCGCTATGCGCAGGGCTCAGGCCTAAGCTGTCAGTCAGACATCCCAAGGGCTCCTGGACTGCGAGAGGGCACAGGCCAGGCTGAGGGACCCCCCAAGTGCATGAATTTCATGCACCAGGCCTCTAGTTTCTAAATAAACTATCAGACTAACTGATTTCTTAAAGCCCTACCTCAAAACATTTATGAATTCATAAATTCCACCTTACCGAAGACATGTGGCAAATGCACGCCTTGCATTTCTATACACAAAATGTATTGGGAACCCTTTAAAAGTGTGACCATCAGGTACAGCCCTCCTTATGGCATCTTGAAATTCTTCATTGCCTGCAGATATACTTGTTGTTCGCTCAAATTCATAAGAAGCCAAAGCTGGTGATAAGAGATAAGAAAGCTGGTCCTCCCAAAGAGTAGTGAGGCCAAGATCCTATAGCAATCAAAAAGAGAAAAAGTAAAACACAATATTTTAACACCCAATTATAAAAAAATTGTTGATTATTCTAACATATACCAAGATTTTTTAAACCTGTCCATTTTTAAAACTTCCCATTATTATAAAAATACATAAATGAAAAATAAACTATTGGTATCAGTTTTAATTCTTGAAAAAAACAAAAACATTCAATATAATGATGTTAATACGGGCTCCAAATTCTATACTTCTTTACTATCCACTAGAAAAGATCATATGGAATAGTCCTGCTATGGAAGACAGTGACAATAAATTGTGATATCACATTTTATTTAACTTCATAATTTAGTAAGATTGAATCTGCTTAATTTGATTGCTCCTACCATAAACTCAACTATAGGAGGGGAGAAAAACCAACAAACTAATTGCATATATAAGTAAACTCAAATATTTACTGAGTATTTACTCTTTATTTCTAGAAGGAGGTAATAAATTCTAGAAATAATGGTGAATTTAGAAATTTCTGAGTCTCAGAGCTTTATCTCATGACTTTCAAAACTATAAGCTTTTAAAGGTAGGGACAGTATTTGCCTTGTTCAGGGCTAGAATAGTCACTGACACTATCATACACACACCCCAAAAATTGTTTAGCCATAAACAAATGAAAAAAGCATGAAACTACAAATTTCAGTGTTAATTACCTTCCTGTGTTCTGACACTAGTAACCTTAGCTGCATTTCTATTTCATTACTTGTTACTGAAGCATCAATCGTGGATGCACAAAGAGGTGGAAAGGGAGGAAGGGATGTTGTAGCTCCTGGAGCACACACAGATTTAATTGCTTCTTCACTCATGGGTTTCCATTTAGATTCATCATTCAAATCAAATACACAGATTTCTACAGAGTCAGAGGGCTGACAATTTCCCAGAAACATCTGATGGTTGAAAACACAACCAATTGTTCGATATGGGTACAATGGTTTGGGCTGTTCAGCAACTGGAGGTTCATCAGGATTGTTAGATTTATGGATGTACCTAAAAAAGGCAAATCATAATTTTATATAATAAGAACTTAAATTAGGAAGGCAGCATTTTATTGAGGACACTTAAAGGCCTAACTATTTCCCAGGACTAGTGTTTTAATACTCATTTTACGTTCTTATCTTTCTATAATTTGATTACTCTATATCAGTGGTTCTCAACCTGTGGGTCGCGACCCCTTTGGCGGTCGAACGACCCCTTCACAGGGGTCGCCTAAGACCATCCTGCATATCAGATATTTACATTACGATTCATAACAGTAGCAACATTACAGTTATGAAGTAGCAACAAAAATAATTTTATGGTTGGATCTCAACATGAGGAACTGTATTTAAAGGGCCAGAAGGTTGAGAACCACTGCTCTATATTAATTATATAGCATAACTTATGCTATAGAAATCAACTTTACTCCTTTAACATGAAAATATATTCTATGCATATTGTTAAAATAAAAAACATTTATCTCAGATAACACAATTAAAATAATTTGGCTATATATTATGAGGTATGATTAATAAAAATGATTATCAACTAGAAAGAAAAAGAACCCAAAAATATGAGAAGAAGGCTCAGGGCTGTGGCTTTATCCCAATATGCCACATACCAATATGCATCATCTATAATAATAAAAGCGTAATATGCAAATCGACCGAACAGCAAAACAACCGTCTGGACGACCACACTATGACACGCACTGGCGCCAGGGTGCGATGCGATTGGTCAGGGGGCCCCACCATCGCTCCACGATTGCCCTGCAGAGGGAGGCCCAGGCTACCCATCTGGTGGCGCTACGGCAGGTGGGCGGGTCCTCCCTCTGTGGGGTGATTGGTCCCAGGGCGGGTGGGGGGGAGGCTCTGCGATCAATCACCCCACAGAGGGAGGCCCAGGCCTCCGGCCAGCACTGCTGTGACAGGTGGGCAGGGCCTCCCTCTGCAGGACAATCGATCGCGCGGTTCCCGGACTGCAAGAGGGCGCAGGCCAGGCTGAGGGACTCCCCCCAAAGTGAATGATTTTGTGCACCGGGCCTCTAGTCCTATATAATAAAAGTGTAGTATGCAAATTGTCCCCTCGACAGTTCTTCCGGGAGTTCAACCAGGGGGCGGGCTGGACGGGGGAAGGGAGGGAGGCCCCGGCACTGGTAGGTGGCCGGGGGAAGGGAGAGAGGCCCTGGTGCTGGCAGGCGGCCAGGGGAAGGGAGGGAGGCCCTGGCGCTGGCAGGTTGCCGGGGGAAGAAACGGAGGACCCCCCCGCACTGGTAGGTGGCTGGGGGAAGGGAGGGAGGCCCTGGCCATCAGTGGCAGCCAGCGGCAGGCAGCCGAGGGCAGGGAGGGAGTACCCGGCCAGCAGCTGGCAGCTGCTAGGGACCCTACCAGTGCATGAATTTCGTGCACTGAGCCTCCAGTCCCTATATGTCAAGGTTGCAGGTTTAATGTCCCATCAGAGCACATACACAAATCAACCAAGGAATGCCTAAGTAAGTGGAACAACAAATCAATGTTTCTCTCTCCCTCCCCCTTCCTCTCTCTCTCAAATCAATAAATAAATTGGGGGGGGAAAAGCCTGAAAAAATGTCCAATGAGTTTATTAACACAGACTTGGTGACCACATCAAATTTTAAAAAGAAATCATGATTTCAACTTGAGTTTATTTTCAGGCTTAGAGATGATCATCAGAAAAGCATATACCAATTATATAAAATTAAAAGTAAATATAATGTATATTTTTACCAATATTATGTTAGTAAAGAATATTTTAAGTGTACAAATTTTCTTAAGAGTTTAATTACATATTTTAATTGAAGTAGTTTTAGTCACTGAAAAGGCTTTAATAACTAAAATTATCAACAAGTACCTTTGATATCATCAATCTAAACAACCTATAATATAAAATATTTGCATCTTCATTTTCATATCTTTGTAAACTTAGTTGGCTAACCTGTGTCCTGTTAAACTCTCCCAAAAAGTGATGGTTCCATCAGTTCCACAAGTCATAACCCAAGCATGAGGTACTCCTTTTGCCTTAGTCCCAACACAGACAAACGCTTCTAATCCATATCCAAGAAGAAGGCTGCACAGAAGGTTAGCATGATCTTCACAGTCACCCTATAAAAATATAATTAATTAAAAAATTAAGTATCTGTTCCTTCATATTGTCTCCTCATTAAATATATAAATACAAAATGACAATAAAACATATTATTAATTTTTTTCCTTTTAATCATTAGATAATAGTGTTAGGCTGAAATAATAAGAGTGGAAAAATAAAATACAAAATTTAGAAGAGCCTAAATTATTTTACAAAGTCAGAGCTCAGAAATCTAATAGTTATAATATGTATACTTTAAGAGGGAACATTCAGATTCAAAAGTTTATAAAGAACTCATACAATATAGAAGAAAAACAGTAAGATTTTTAAAATGAATAGCTAATGAACATGAACAGACAAGCTGACAAATCATAGAGCAGAAAATGCAAATGGGAAAACACACAAACTGAAAACAATGAGTTATAGCATCTATACATGATTATTTTAAGGAAATACATAGGAAAATGACTGGGTAGTATACAACATAATGCCAACAGCAGCTATATTTAAGGTGATTATATATAATTTCCCCCAGTATTTTTTTTTAATATTTACTTTGAAATCTAATTAAAATACAACTTTTAGTACATGACTGATACAATGTCCAATGCACTTATTTGTTCAGGCACCAATTATTTTTTAATTGACTTTTAGAAAAAGAAAGGAAGGGGAGGGGGAGCAAGAAAGAAACACTGATTTGCTCTTCCATTTACTTATATGCATTCATTGGTTGATTCTTTTTTGTTGTTGTTAATGCTCATCCAAGGATAGTTTTCCATTGACTTTTAGAGAGAGTGGAAAGGATGGGGGAGAGACAGAAAGAAAAAAACACCAATGTGAGAGAGACACATCGATTGGTTGCCTCCAGCATGCGCTCTGACCAGGGCTGGGGATTGAGCCTGCAACCAGGAATTGAACCCAGGACCCTTCAGTCGGCGGGCCAACACCAGACCAGCTAGGGCCATTGGCTGATTTTTGCATGTGCCTTGATCAGGAATCGAACCTGCAACCTTGGAATATCGGGATGACACACTAATCAACTGAGTTACCCAGCCAGGGCTTCCCTTTTACTTTCTAAATTCTCTTTGATAATGTTATATTACTTTCACAATTTTAAAAAATTATAAAAACTACAAAAAATTAAAAATATCTGATAGCTTTTATGAAATACATTATTAAAATATTAAACAGTAAGACTACAATTACATGAAGATATGTGTTTAAACACAGAAATACAGGTAATATGCACAAGTAAAAATAACTATTGAGTTCAGTATTAGAATGGATGATGTATCTTCATCCTCAAAATTTTGCAGTAGTGGTTCTCCACTGTTGCTTTTTACCTAATTGCAATAAAACAAACAGCATTTTATAATCATTAAATTGACTTTAGAAAAACATAATATACAACCTTGGAAACCCAGTAATTTCTACATTGAGATTTTATACTAAATTTTTTTTTAAAAACCCCAACAATACAACCAACGATGTTCAATGCAAAATATCATTCTCTATGATATCAAAAAATGGAAGCAAACCTAACGCAGCCAAAGAAACAGTGCCTACAATGGGGAAATAGTTAAGCAGATTTTATATATCAACTTAAGAAAATTTCATACAGCCATTAAAAGACAGAGATCATAAAGACTAGCAACACAGAGTTCATAGCACAATGCTAAATTATAAAGCAGGACACAATATTTTACTTATATCTTAATTATGGAAAAAAATGATACCTAACAGGAGAGGTTATAGAAAAAAATGATATATAAGAGAAAAGCATAAAAAGACATGTTGGCAATAGGATTATGGATGAAATTTCACTTTCACTGTTGTAAATCTGTTTGTGCCAGAAAAATATTTTACGTAATTTTCAAATTTCTAATTAAAGATGTGCTTTCTCTTTAAACAAACTTAAACAACAACAAAAAAACAGTGAATGAGCCCTAACCGGTTTTGCTCAGTGGATAGAGCATCGGCCTGCAGACTCAAGGGTCCCAGGTTCGATTCAGGTCAAGGGCATGTACCTTGGTTGCGGGCACATCCCCAGTAGGGGGTGTGCAGGAGGCAGCTAATCGATATTTCTCTCTCATTGATATTTCTAACTCTCTATCCCTCTCCCTTCCTCTCTGTAAAAAATCAATAAAAATATATTTTTTAAAAAAATAAAAAAACAACAACAGTGAATCAAATGGGTGATTATTTGCTTTACAAAAATATTATTTACACTAGAGGCCCGGTGCACAAAATTCGTGCACTGGGGGGGTGGGGGGTGGCCTGTGCCCTCATAGGGCGGGAGCCCCGCAATCAATCTCCCCAAAGAGGTAGGCCCCGCCCACCCATCCAGGGATCCTGGATGGATTGCTCCAAAGAGGTAGGCCGGAGCCGGGGGTCCCACCTCCACGGCTCTGCGCAGAGCCGCCAGGACCCGCTTCCGTGGCTCCACACAGAGCCACCAGGACCTGCCTGCGCACCACGCACGCAGCGTCAAGTCCCCGCCCACCCGCTGCACATGTAGCCTCCTGGTGATGGATTGTTACGGCGTGAGGGCATGACGACCACATAGGCTTTTATTAGTATAGATAATAATTTTAAATATGTACCATTCCTACTATGTTTGAAATAAAAATGTTTTAATCTATACACACAACTTTTGGGAACTATAGATTGAGAATAAATCAAAACAATTTTGATAAGTAATGTTTAACTGTTTTCAGTTGTCCAAGACAAAATCATTCTGACAAATCAATTTCTAATATAAACAGTTTCTTCCATTGCATAAACTTGCCTTATGAATACCTATAGTATTTACACAACTTCAAGACTAAACAAAATTGTTTCAAAACAACAATACAGTTCTTTTTTTCTGTTCTGTTTCAACAGAACTGGAATGCTTAAGACTGACTTGTTTGTTTTTAATGAAAATTATTTTATTAAAACCTCTTATAGCCATTTTCAGGGACCTTAATGACTTCAATGTCTTTAAGGCTTGTAACATGGCTAGTTTACTGAAATCAATTCATTTAAGTTTAAGATCAATAAATTTATATAAATTCTTAAATATATACTTATATTTGATCTAATCAAAACACCAATAAATCCAGTAATTTTTTCCATATTCATTTTGTACTGCCATTTTCTTTTTTTTTAAAAACACATTTAAACAAATTTTAATACATGAATAATACTAGAAGACCATAGTAATAGTCCTGCTGCTCTAATTCAGTTTCATTTACCTCTATATCTTGATTTCTGACATAATAGTACTTATAGATCCTTACCTCACAGAAATCACAGTACATTAAATAATAAGCTACATGAGAAAATAAAAATGCTAAGTTTTTTCTTTATGTATTGACATTTAAGTGTTAAGAAAAATGATGAAAAGATTGTCTTATTCAAGTTGATACTATGTACATTTTTCTACGTTAATTATTTTACAAATGTACCATAAATTCACAATTATGACGTACTGCTTTTTAATTCTATTATGTGTGTAGGATACCTTGTTTCTACAGAGAAAGGCCAGCAGAGTGCACCACTGTTCCTGTTTACCTCCTCCTCCAATAACAGGGGCTCTTTCATAACCAAGGACATTAACAAATCTTGCTGCTTGCCTTGGGGTATCCAGAAGCCGCCCAGCTCGAAGTGGTTTAACATAGGAACAGACTGGTCTATTTATCCCATTTTCGTCCTGGAGAAAGAGAGGGAAAACATTATCTGTAATGACTGATTAATCATTTTCAATTTTAACACCTGTTCTCAGAGTACATTAATGTAGAATAAAATAATTCTGGATTATCACTTACTGCTTACCTTGTACCTAGCACTAGATTGCTGAGTGCTATGCATACAATTTCTCTTTTAATCCTCATAACATCTCTATTACTTTCATTTCATAGATGAAGAAACTGAAGCTACAGCCATTATGCAACAGGGACGGGATCCAAACATTGAGCTAACGCCAAAGCCTTTGACAGTAAGAACATAAACTATCATATGACCCAGCAATCCCACTCCTGGATATATATCCAAAGTAATTGAAATCAGTATCTCAAAGATTGCACACCATGTTCACTGCAGCATTATTCACAATAGCCAGGATATGGAAACAACCAGAATGTCCTTCAACAAATGAATGGATAAAGAAAATGTGGTATACATATAAAATGGACTAACATTTAGCCATAAAAAAAAAAGGAAGAGACCCTGCCATTTGCAATACAAATGAACCTGAGGGCATTTAAAAAAATTTTTGCACAGGAAATGTAAAAGCTATCATTAAGTGAATTACTATTATACTATAGCAAAACCAGCTAGTGAGAAAGAAAAAGAACAATGGGTTAATAAATATGATAACCCTGGATATTCTAAAGATGTTTGTTTGTAGAAAGGTAATTAGTTTAGTGCTTGTGTGGGCGGGTTTGTTCTATTCTTACAATTCCACTAATAGGCAAGAAAGAAATGAAAATGTAAAAAAAAAAAAAAAGGGATGCATTTGCCCTAAACAAGTTATCAATAGTAGCACCTTGGAATATAAGATATACCATTACTTGTTTCATTATAGCAATGTCTCTAATATTACCTAACTATATCCCCATAAACTATTTAAATATCTAGAAAATTTCAGTATTTCAACCTCTAACCCTGTACTGCTCAATAGAATGCCACTAACCATATGTGGCTATTTAATTGTTAATAAAGTTTTAAAAATCAGTTCTTTAACTGTGTTAGTCATATTTTGTGTGCTCAACAGCTACATATGGCTAAGGGTTACCACACTGGACAGCACATTTCTATCAATGCAGAAAGCTCTACTGGATAGTGCTATTGTATACTATTTCCTCTTGGGCATGGAATCACTGGAAATTCATTTTAAGGCCATGTATAATAATATCTATATTTAAAATGATAGTTTTTGTAATTAGATTGATGCCTTAAATAACTGTTGTTGAACCTTAATTTTGTATCTAGCCAAACATAGGAAGAAGCAACAAGAAACACTATTGGAAAAGGAACCTAAGAAAGATAAAAATGTTATTTACTCTATATGGAAAGAAATGGCACAAACTAATGAGCAATAGTTGAAACTGCAATTTGATAGTTTGTCATGACTGAGCTGATGTTTGAACTCAGAAAAAAATCTTCACTTCTCTATCCTTCACACCGTTTGCAAAAAGTAGCAATGCCTGGCTACTCGACAATCTCATATGGTTACCATGAGACTAAATGACCTTACATGGTTCAAATCTTCTTACAATGAATTCCAAGACAGGAACCTTAAGTAATATTTCCTAAAAGACAATCTCAGTTCTTTGATTCCCTTAACTGCATATTCCATTCTTTTCCTTCCTCCTCTTTCATTTGCAATTTCTCTGATCTACTTCCTCCCCTTCCCCCACCAACCACCCCAAACTGGTCAGATTCCCTATGGCAACCTCAGACTAAATAGACAGCAGGTCGCCAGTCTTGCCTCCACATTGTCCTATAGGTGTTACCTAGTTTCATCTCCCAAATAATCTTTTTTTAAATCCTCACCTGAAGATATTTTTTCCCAATGATGATTTTTTTTTTTTTAGAGAGAGTGGAAGGGGAGGTGGGGGAGGAGACAGAGAAACATTGATGTGAGAGAGACACATCGACTGGTTGCCTCCTGCACATGCCCCAACTGGGGCCGGTGGCCAGGGATCGGGAATAGAGCCAGCAATGAAGGTATGTGCCCTTGACCAGAACTGAACCTGCGACCCTTCAGTTTGTGGCCGGTGCTCTAACCACTGAGCATATCAGCTAGGGCGGGAACCACTTATATTTTGACTGGTTTCTCTTTGCCCTTGATCTGACATCACTGCTACCTTGCCTGCCTAGTCATTCAATGTATAGATAATGTTATTGTAAAGTCAGAAGCCATTTCCTTCATTTCCACCACTAGTCAACTACAGTCTCCCACATTCCCAAGCTCCTCATCTAGAAATTGAAACACTTTTAGCCTGTCCTAAAAATCTAGGGAATGTAGGGTAAAGCTAGACAAATGCACAGGATCTGAGAAATATAATCCACTACAACATTATATTCACATAAAAATACATCTACATAAGCCTGAATATACATAAAGTATTTAAGTAGTCCTTAAGTTACAAAAAGATATGGATCTAATCATATATTGTATGTTTGTTAAAGACAGAAAATGGGCTTAGGATACAAGAAAAATAGAAGCAGAGATATATAGTTGAAATGCTGCAGTTGAAATGCCGGAGCTAAATATTATTGGTCATTGGCTTAGGGATCTTGGTTATATAGAATTATTACATGTAATATATGTTTGTCTTTTTAAAAAAACACCCTAACCAGAAAAAATATATATGTGGAGCCCCAGTTCTGCACACAAAAGCTGAATTTACATATAAATTAGAAAATGTCCTAGTAGTTATTTAGTACTAAGTACCAATCAAAGATACACTCAAACAAAAGGGTTTTCATCTACTTTAAATAATATATATTCAAAAAGGGTTTAAGAAACAAAAATGAAAAGCAAAATAAAACATTGTATTATATCATTCAGTGAAAGAGAGTATTACAAAAGTAGCATTGTATTTTACAAATAAATTTTCATTTTTCTGTAATAAATACATTTTACAAATTCAAGTTAAATAAAATGTATTTTAAAAATACAGTTAATATCAAATATAGCTGTGGAGTTTTTCTAATATAGTTTACAAACCTGAGCAAAAATCTTAACCAGCCGTGAGTTGTGTGAGGGTCGAATTTGCAAATATTCTCTCCACCACTGCTTAGCATATACAAGAAATAATCGCTCTTTCTCTGCAGTTTTCTGACGTTCCAAGGCAAGCTTGAAATTTTAAAAAAAAAGTTTCAATTTCCATTCATTCTCCTTAATTACTATAAAATATGTAACAGATCTATGTACTTCTCTCCATCTCTACCACTACCCTAATTAATCTAAGCCACCATCATCTCATCTGTAAGAGCCTCAAAATGACTTGCCTATTTCTACACCTCCCCCCATACAAATCAGTCTCCAGACAACATCAAAGTAATCTTTTTCCACCAAGACATTTTTAAATATTAAATCATATTGTCATTCTCTTGCTTAAAACTAACAAACTGTAATTTTCTAAAAAGAAAGTGCTTTCTAGGATTAACAGGGAAACATACTATTATGAAAACAATTACACAAAGAAGAGAAATTCAGAATTTTTTACCTGTGTGTTCACTACTTCTTGAGATAATGTTTGACTGAGTAGTGGGTACATCTCAAGTTTTATATTTAAAATTCCCACAGAAACTTTTGATTCTGTGCCTAAAAGTGTAAATAGATATTTAGAACTTCAGAGGTTTTAATGCTGTGCATATTTAGTCAACCAAAATAATTTAAGAATTTTGTGCTTTACCACTTACATAAATATTCAACGTTACCTTTAATATTCATATCAAAATGAACCAAATCAAATTAGTTTTTATTTGGTACCAAGGCCTTCATGTCATTTTAAGGAGGTTACCTATTTTCTTAGCTTCCTAATCACTTTTAAGTGACTTTTCAGACTTAAAGGATTCAGAAGTCTTAATTTTTATATTAATTAAATGTCTGATACCAACCAGACTTACACTTAAAACCAAAGTAAAAGTAGCTGTTAACACCTCATTCTCAGAAAATATTTATACTTTTTGTCACATACAGTAATTCCCATTTATCCCCTCCCATTTTTCACATTACATGTGAATACAAATTTTTAATCCATGCCTGTATTTAAAGAATTAGAAAACAAATAATGGGTATCAGTTAAAAATAAACATCATACCTAAAAGTTTTTTTCTCTACTTTTTATTTAAGTAAAAACACATTCAGGGTCTGACTTATCGAAATCTAAATTACTAAAGCTATACTGTCCAATGGCCAGACTTAACTCTGTGACTAAGTTTCAATACCAAAGTACTTCCATTATGTTATGCATAAAACATAGGTAGCTTTTGTTTTTCACTGTATTGGTAAATATGTATTACATATCAAGTAGTATGCGAGAGTCCAAGGAGACAATGGTGAATAAGATAGGCACCATCTCTGTCCTCAAATATTATTTACTGATACTGACATTGAGCAGGTTAGCACCTCTGAGTGTCACTTTTCCACATGTAAAGAGATAGAAGAAAACCTACTCCATATTCCACAGGAACAGCTGCTGCAGGAAGCCACTGGTACTAATGGGGATGCATTATATTCCGGGATGTGCTGGAATGGAGGTATTTTGTGTATGCATGCATGTATATGCATATGTGTAGAATCTTAATTTTCTTTATAGCCTTATATATAATCAAATGAATTTGGGGGGGGAAAACTCTCAAAATTTGTTTATTCATTTCCCAGGAAAAAAAATTTCTTTAAGACAAGGCCAGAATGACTGTAAAGTTCTACACTCACACTAGTCTTCAAGACATTTCCATAGACTACAACACTGAAGTCCAATTATAATTCTAAAGAAATTCTTTTTACGTTTGCCTCTTGATTTATAAAGGCATTTTCAAAATATAAAATGTACTTACAAACAAAGTAGGACTTATAAAAAGGTAACATGATATTAATCATCATACCTACACCCATAAGTTCCACAGTAAGATTGGTTGCTCCATTTTCTGAGCCCAAAACTGATCGCCATTCGAGAAAATAGGATGCTACTAAAGTGGTCTCACCAAATATATCTGTTTTGATTAGCACCATATGAATTGGATCACTTATTGATAACATTGTTGTTGAATCAGCCATTCTAGTTCCATCACCTAGCAACATAAACAAAAAAAAATTACACCATATTACATATTCAGTTAAGCCAACATAAAATACTTTTACTGAAAAGTATTAATAAACTTATATAAAACCAAATAGAATAATTTGGTAATGACTCAGAAAGCATGCAACAGACTGGGAATAAAAGTAGTCTATTTCTCACAACTTTTTAGAGGACTGGCAGAATTGTAATGAGTTGTCACTTAATGAATATCAGTATTTTCTGATCTCTAAGACAGCGGTCACCAACCAGTGGTCCATGGATCACTGGTGGTCCGTGAGGTCCGGAAGGTTGGCAACCGCTGGTTCAAGGAAACCTTTGGAGCAGCGGTTGCCAACCGGTGGTCCGTGAAGTCCGAAAGGCCTGCGACCGTTGCTCTAAGACAGTGGTTGGCAAACGGCGACTCGCGAGCCACATGCGGCTCTTTGGCCCCTTGAGTGTGGCTCTTCCACAAAATATCACGTGTGGGCGTGCACGTACAGGGAACGTTGTGGAGTGAAAGAAGATGTAGTGTCGAGGATTGAGAAAGGTATGTTGAGATGGTTTGGACATATAGAGAGGATGAACAAAAGGAGATAGACGAAAAAAGTATACAAGACAAGTGTGGATTGGGAGAGTTGGAAGGGGTCAACCTCAGCAAACGTACCTCAATCAGATTGAGGACGTTTTTAGCAAAGGCCAGCTTAGGAGTACCCTAATTAAGTTAATAACAATGTACCTACCTATATAGTTTAAGTTTAAAAAATTTGGCTCTCAAAAGAAATTTCAATCGTTGTACTGTTGATATTTGGCTCTGTTGACTAATGAAAATCTTTTCCTATTTATCAGTCTATTCATTAAAAGTACTTCCTAAACTATATGTTACTAAGATAATTCAAATATGTCAACATTAATTCCAAAACTACCTTTATCCCTAAGCTCCAGAAATAATCACTGTATTATCTACCCAAAACTGAAAGACCCGACACCTTGGAGCTAGCAATTTAAGCCATTATTTTTCACCGGGGGGGGGGGGGGGGGGGA